AGAGGCTAAGTAGCAGCCAGGTGCTGCTAATCAAATGCCCTTGATCAATTGATCATCAGCAGACTGCCTCTATAAAAGCCAGAGTGTGCTGGTCTTGAGCACAGAGGTGTGTGTTAGCACAATGCCAAAGAATAAAGACATCAGCAATGATCTTAGAGAAGCAATTGTTGTTGCCCATCAATCTGGGAAGGGTTATAAGGCCATTTCCAAACAATTTAAAGTCCATTGTTCTACAGTGAGGAAGATTATTCACAAGTGGAAAACATTCAAGACAGTTGCCAATCTTTCCAGGAGTAAGATTATTCACAAGTGGAAAACATTCAAGACAGTTGCCAATCTTTCCAGGAGTAAGATTATTCACAAGTGGAAAACATTCAAGACAGTTGCCAATCTTTCCAGGAGTGGACGTCCCAGCAAATTCACTCCAAGGTCAGATTGTGCAATGCTCAGAGAAATTGCAAAAAATCCAAGAGTTACATCTCAGACTCTACAGGCCTCAGTTAGTATGTTAAATGTTAAAGTTCATGACAGTACAATTAGAAAAAAACTGAATAAGTATGAGTGAGGAAGATTATTCACAAGTGGAAAACATTCAAGACAGTTGCCAATCTTTCCAGGAGTGGACGTCCCAGCAAATTCACCCCAAGGTCAGACCGTGCAATGCTCAGAGAAATTGCAAAAAGTCCAAGAGTTACATCTCAGACTCTACAGGCCTCAGTTAGTATGTTAAATGTTAAAGTTCATGACAGTACAATTAGAAAAAAACTGAATAAGTATGGTTTGTTTAGAAGTGTTGCCAGGAGAAAGCCTCTTCTCTCTAAAAAGAACATGGCAGCATGGCTTAGGTTTGCAAAGTTGCATCTGAACAAATCACAAGACTTCTGGAACACTGTCCTTTGAGACCAAAATGGAGATGTTTGGCCATAATGCACAGTGCCACGTTTGGCGAAAACCAAACACAGCATATCAGCACAAACACTGATAAAGTCATACAAAAAATGATTACTTCTAGTTATTGCTGCTAAAGATGGTTCTACCATCTATTGAATCATAATGTGTACTTAGTTTTTTACGCATGGCTTCTCCATTTTGGCTTTATTTTTGTAAAATAAATGATGACATGGTGTAATATATCATGTGTTGTTCATCTGA